CCCATCTCCCTCCCCTTCCACTCTTGAAAATTTTTCAGAAAAAAACTTCTACAAATTGTTATTTATACAATAAATCCCCAAAAATCCAAGCATCATAACCTCATAACCTTCAAGACATAAATTAATAGCAAATGGGTAACTTATTCTTATATCAATATAAGAACAAGAAATTTTATATTTAATTTTTATTATTGAGAGTGTAAAACAGTTAAATATAAATAAAATTAATATATATTGAGAGTGTAACCTTTTTTTTTTTTTTTTTTGATAACAGAGAGTGTAACTTTTCATACTTACCTTATCTACATGTCTCCAGATCAGAATCTCAAGTAACTTCTACCCTTTCTCTCTCCTTTTGAGATTATGATCCAATAATGTTGGAGATCAATAGATAGAGTAGGCATGAAAAAAGATAGACATAATATCCTATGTCATTCATATACATTAAGCAGTGGTGTCATACTAATAAGATGCCATATGTCAAAAAAATTGGTTTAATATTGATAAGAGTTACCGCAACTTCAAAATTGAGGTCCTTTACTCATCTAAATTGAATTGTATAATTATTTATATTTTAATCTTTTTGTGGAATAATTTATTAATTTAATGCGAAAAGACTTGCATTTTAGTAGTGTGTATTCAAGTCATGTATTATCACTATGTGAAACTTGTGCAAAAAGCCAATGCATACCTACACACATTGTGTATGCAAGATGCACATGAGGGAGGACATAATTTTAATGTGCATGGAAGTGATGCGCATCTTGCAGAGCGCGACGTGTTGCAGAGATGCACTGATTTTTGCATGAATCACATATAAAGATAATGCGCAAGTTAAATATACATTATTAGAATGCACCTTTTCTCATTAAATTAATAAATTATTTATCAAAAAAATTGAACTAGTAAAATATTTCTAAATTTACTTTACATGGAAAAAAAATCTCAAAATTGCTCAAGTCACTGGTACAATTAAATTGTAAAACCTGTTTATATAAAAAAAAAAATTTGTAAGACCGCGTTAATCTTTACTTTTAAAATGTGTTACTTCATTTATTTATGACCTAAAACAAAAAGATCCTAGGGAGTCCAATCATGCTTGTCGAATGTTCAATCAGTGTTCACATTTTCGTATGTATTCATTTAGGGAGTGTTTGGTAGAGGATAATTTTTTTTTATCGGAAAAATGGTAAGAAAGTCAGTTTGATGGGAAAGTTTAAAAAAAGATGTTTGTTGACCAAAATATTACCAGGAAAATTTATTTAAATTTGTAAAATCTATGTTCGGGAAAAACTTCACACATGTTTTTTACTTCTCCAGTTATCTCAAAATATCACATCTCAAATGGTATTTTGTAACAGTGAATTTCATCGAAAAATCAACACAAAAGTCATTTCCTCATCCATCCTATTTGTCTAGTATTTTTTTCAAAAACCTGAACCAAACGTGATATTTTCCAATATCCACTTACACTTACCCATCAATCTCAAAATAAAACTTCTACCAAACACTACCTTAGGGTGAGTTTGGTACGAGTATTTGTTTATTTGGTATGGAATGATGGGAAAGTGGGGTAAGGAATATTTATTTATCATGTTTGGTATGAGTATTGTGAATAAGATACCAGTAATTTTTCCTCAGTAAACCACTTTTGAACTACACAAAGACAAAAAAATTTCCCACTCAACCTTTGGTATTTTTTTTTCCTTGATCTTGGATTCTGAAAATGTAACATTTGATTCATTTTTTCCTAAAAAAAACAACATTTGATGATGACTCACTTTTTATATTCAAAAAATTAAGGATATTTTGGTAATTTTTATTCTCATTCCCATCAATATTTTACTATCAACAAAACATAACATCAGTAAAATTAACTTAACTTTCTCGGCAAAATTTTGGTCAACCAAACACTTTTTTGTAACTTAATGGGGATAAAAAAATTCTTACCAAATCCCTAACAATCTTTTTTCCCCGATAAAAAAATATCTAACATACCAATCGCCCCCCCAAAATATCATGTATAGTATATGATAAGACATAATAGTATAAGATCTTATTAAATTTTAATATTATTCAGCATTTGGTATGGTATTATATAAAGTAATATATTATACAAGATAAGATTATTCAATATTTGGTAATATACTATATAATACTAAATAAGATAAAAATAAATATTTTTATCAAAAAATATTTAATAAAAAAAATATATAATTTTTTTAAATATGTCATATGATATTAAATTGTACAAAAATCTATTATTCAATATGTCCAGAAAAATATTAATTTTTATAAAAATAAAAATCTTCAATATTTTAAAAATTAATATATTGAAAAATTAATTTTTATTGTAATATAATTATTAAAATAATATATCTTAAAAATTGTACTGGTCAGTCATATTAATACATCAACAATTAATTAGGCTTAACTCCATTCTTTTAAATCTAATTAACTTATACATCATTTTGATGTATAAAATTATATAATAATCGCACCAAATAATTAAAAATATCATAATATATAATATAAATTTATACTATTAAATCTTGGGTTTTATAAGAGTTATGTTGTAGGAAAAATAATTGTGTAATATTATAGAGATTCATTTTGCGTGCCGTAATTTTTTTTCCTTTTTTCTTCAAAAAGTATAGACCCCACAAAATATTGTATGTAAAAAAAATTTGTTATGTTATGTTAAATAATAAATACAAACCTCTTAAATCTTATACATGACACCAAATCGCCTTTAACGTAGAAAGTAAGACAAGGGTACTATTGCGGAACAATCCTCGTATTTTATTTTACATTTTTAATTAGATGTATATTTTTTACATGATTTATCAACACTTCGTCTCGATATCCTTAAAAAAATTAGCTTTTTGGGGCTTTTCCCAAAAAGTTAGCTTTTTATTTTAAACCATAAAAGATAATAGTCACATCATATTAATTTGAATAATTTACAATTCATTTATGTGGAATAGCTACGGAGATCACACATACTACATACAGAACGAGGAAGAATTGAATAAATTCAGGGCATTACCAAATTTTAAATATTGGTCCTTAAATTATTTTCTTCCTTAAATTTAAAATAAAACATATTCATGCAATGAAGGCCCTTGAATTTCCCAAGTTATTTATGAGACGGTTTGTTGTAACATAATCAAAGTGTTTAATTACAATTTCAGCAGAACTTTTGTGGAAAAAGGTGTGTTATTTAAAAAGATACACCTTACATCCTTTCACTTTTACAAAGAGATGAAATTCACGTCTTTCAAACTTTTTCCCTCATTCTATCTCTCATAATTTATCTTTTTTTCTCACTTAAAATGACACAATTTTGTGTTCTTTAAAATGATACATATTTAACCCCCAAGGGTAGCTCAGTTGGCAGCTGAGCTCCCAAGGGATTGCTTGGTGCAGGGATCAAACCCTGCCTCAAGCAGTTTCTTGAAAAATCTTTGGGGGCCAGAGGATAAGCCAAAAAATCTTTGGTTGGGGGATTAGTCTCGTCATTTCTCCGGTTGCGAAGCTTAGTGCACCCACTGTTACAATGAAGGGCTAGCCCAAACGGGCCGTACCCCGAGGGCATGGTGCCCGGAGAAGGTTGAATGGAGATACCTCCTGGCAATGTACCAAAAATAAAATAAAAAATGATACACATTTTTTTCAACTTTTATATATGTTATACAAAGGTCCTAAAACCTGGTATAAGTAAAAATTAAATTTTTTATTGTAAAGTAAGTGATCCGGATAAAATATAGGCTCAATCAAAGCCCCATAAGGAAAGCCCAAGCCCTTCCGAAGCACAAGGAACAAGCATTGACGCGATGCCCACATCGCAGCGTTCCAGACGCGATATCCCCATCGCGATATACAGAACGTGATGGTCTCATCACGGCACACAAGACTCGATTCTCGTATCGCGCATGAAACCTTCTAAGAGAGGTAAACGTAAGGCTCAAGATAACTCCACCGCGCCTTAGCTCCAGTAAACAACGAACAGCTCTAGCGAACAGCTCTAGCTTGCCTCTAATCTACTACTAGACCCTTTGGAAGATAAGGCTATATAGGTCCCCTAAATAACTTGTAGCCCAAGGCTGGCCACTCAGAAGCCAAGCCGCCTTAACTAAGGCGGCATCCCAGTTACTATATAAACACACGATATACCACCAAGGTACGATCATCCTTTACTTTAACAAGATAACACACCTGCCTCTGATACTAACTTAAGCATCAGAGTGTCTTCGCAAGTACCCCCCATTTGGTGCAACGTGCCAACGTGAAGGACAAAAGCTCAAGATCAGTCCGACAGCAATACTTGGCCCAGGCCAACAACGACGTAAGGTGATTCAACCATGTGTGATTGGGCTCTATACCTATAGGCCAGTCCATACTGTATCTGGTCCGATCATTGGCGCCGTCTGTGGGAACTTTTACCCACCTTTCTCTAAAAGCATGGTTGACACTCGCAGCAAATCCCAGAATGGCTCCAAAGGAAAGCGGAAGGAGACCCCTACTTCCCGTGAAAAATCAGCTTCGTTGGTGGCACCAATTCCCATCCACCTGGATGACCCACCGACACCCCAACATCTGTTGGATCTCATCACACTACAGAATAAGAAAATCGCTCAGCAGAATCGAGATTTAGCTCGATTGAAAAAAGCTCAAAAGAACAAAGACAAAATCCAAGAAAAAGAAAAAGATCCGGAGAAAGAAAAAAATCTTGAAAATTCTGATGAAAGTGAACCACTCCATGCACACTCAGTTGATAACCCAGGACCTTCGGGTCACAAAAGTAAGAAAGGTGAAGAAATAAAAGATACTCATGAGAATGAAAATTCTCATGGAAATTCAAGAATATTCTCTCGAATCGTTCACCCTTTTGTTCCTTGTATAATGAACATCCCAATTCCTCGGGATATCAAGATCTCAATAGAAAAATATAATGGCAAGGGGATCCACAAGAGCATCTGGAACAGTTCCAGACAAACATGATGGCACAGGATGTGGCAGATCCAATAGCATGTCGACTGTTTCCGACAACCCTAAAGGAGACAGCACTTAGGTGGTACTCAGCGTTGCCACTTAATTCGGTGCAAAGTTGGGAGGACCTAACCAACCAATTCCTCATACGATTTGCAACGAGCAAGGCGCAATACAAATCTACGCACGCGTTAAAAACTGTGCGTCAAGGATCTAAAGAAACTTTGCGTGATTATCTAAACAGATTCTTCGATGAAGCACTTTTGGTCATAGATTTGGATCCACAAGTCTCACTACACATCATTACTGAAGGACTAGTTGAAGGCCCTTTCTCCATGTTGCTAGCCAAACAGCGACCACGCACCATAGAGGAACTACGCGCACGATCAGAAAAATTCATCAACCTCGAAGATTACAAGCGCTCACGAGAAATTTCTAACACCAGGGCCAACACGGACAACTTTGAAAGAGATATCCAGAAGAGTTTTCAACGAAAATTCCGTGAAAAAAGAAAGTGGGGAAAATATGACAATTACACCCCTTTAAACACCTCCCAAAGACGTATTCTGAAGGAAGTATTCCAAACAGGGTATGTACGGGTCAACAGACCACCCCCAATGCCGCAAGGAGTGCAACGTGATGAAACTAAATTTTGTGAATTTCACAATGACAAAGGTCATACAACTGATGAATGCTTTGCGCTTAAAAATACCATTGAGGCACTCATACGAGAAGGAAAACTCCACGAGTTCATTTCCAGTTGCAGGGAGTATAAGGCGCTGAGGAGGCGCGATAGAAGTCCAGACCACGACCCAAATTCCAATGAACAAAGGGCGTATCCCAGGAGAAACTATAACCCTGCTCGTAACAATGATCAAAGAAGAGCAACTCTGACTGACAGACGTCAGGGAACTCCACCGCGAAATAGACAGCGAACCACGCAGCAACAGCGCGATGGACTACCTAATAACGCGGCTGGAGTTTTAGCTACCATTGCAGGTGGATTAGCGGGAAGAGGTGCGACAAAATCTCAACGCAAAAAGCATCTGAAATCAATCATGACGGTGCGCGATCACGCTCTCCATTCCACTTCTCGTAGTCAAAGACAGGCCATAAGTTTTGACAACGACGACTATGGCGACATCATCCCAGACCATGATGACCCGCTGGTGATCTCAGCTTGCATGGTTAATCTCCAGGTAAAACGTATTATGGTTGATAATGGTAGTTCAGCTGATATTATTTTCTTGGATGCTTTTCGCGCGATGCACATCTCAGAGGAACATTTACTTCATGGATGTTCAGACCTAATTGGCTTCGCTGGAGAATGCGTACAACCTAAGGGCACCATTGAGATATAGGTAACCTTTGGAATCCTGCCTCAGACGCGTACTATCAAAGTACGGTTTTACGTTATTGAATACGCATTGGCATACAACATCATCCTAGGAAGACCAACCATTGTCGTACTCAAGGCAATCATCTCTATGCCCCACCTTTTGATGAAATTTCGCGATACATCTGGCGCAGTAGTCGCTATCAGGGGTGACCAGAAAGCAGCGCGCAGCTGCTATAATACTAGCCTACGAGCCAAAGTCCCTTTACCATCTGATGACAAAGTCAAAGCATCTGTCAATATGACAGATCTCGATATGCGCGAAGATTTGCGGGACACACGTTCTCAACCTGATGGAGAATTGGAAAACTTTCAGGTAGGGCCACTACCTGAAAACGTCACCAAAATTGGGCGACACCTCCCCGAAGCCGAGAAGAGCGTGTTGGTAACAGTGCTATTGAAACATAAAGATCTCTTTGCTTGGACAGCAGCTGACGTGCCAGGAGTAGACCCAGACATTATTTGTCACCATTAACGTTAGACCCCAAAGCTAAACCAATCGAGCAGAAAAATTGCAAAATTTCCCCAGAAAAATAGATGGTGGTAGAGACCGAAGTAGCAAAACTACTTGATGCATGAGTAATCAGAGAAATCACATACTCTACTTGGCTTTCCAATGTCGTACTAGTCAAAAAACCTAACGAAAAGTGGCGCATGTGTACAGATTACACAGATCTCAACAAATACTGCCCAAAGGACTTTTATCCACTTCCCACCATCGATAAATTGGTTGACAATTCTGCAGGATACCAGATCTTATCCTTCATGGACGCATATTCGGGCTACAACCATATTTCGATGTTCACACCAGATGAGGAAGCCACAACTTTTATCACTGAAAAAGCTACCTACTGCTATAATATGATGTCGTTTAGTCTAAAGAATGCCAGTGCAACTTACCAACGCATGATGAATAAAGTTTTCAGTCAGCAAATTGGTCAGATGCTTGAAGTATACATTGATGACATGATAGTCAAAACAATGACTATTGTACAACATCCTCAGGATTTGGAACAAGTGTTTCAGCAACTGCGCAAATACAAGTTACGACTTAATCCTGCCAAATGCGCGTTGGAGTACCAGCTGGAAAGTTCTTAGGATTCATGCTGACACATCGTGACATAGAGGCTAATCCTCATAAATGTAAGGCTATACTCAACATGACCAGCCCGCGAAACATAAAGGAACTACAGCAATTGACAGGAAGAATTACTAACCAGATTCCTTCCTGCATCAGCACAAAAGTCATTGCCAATGTTTAAACTATTGCGCAAACCGTCAAATTTCACATGGACTCCCGAGTGCGAGGAAGGGTTCATGGCGATTAAAGAACACTTGGCCAACCCACCAGTTTTGGTCAAGCCTTCGCCCAATGAACCTTTGGTCCTATATCTCTCAGTCAGCGTTGAAGCCATAAGCGCTGTCTTATTGCGCGAAGAGAACCAGGAACAACAGCCAATCTACTTCGTGAGCAAAGAACTCCAAGGACCAGAACTACGTTATCAGCAAATTTAAAAAGTTGCTTTCGCGCTCATCTTGACATCGCGACGCCTACGCCATTATTTCCAGGGACACACTATCAAAGTTCGCACAAGCCAACCCCTTCGACAAGTGCTGAGACAACCGGATTTGGCAGGCCACATGATCTCGTGGTCAATAGAATTGTCGAAATACGACGTCATCTACGAACCGCAACAAGCAATTAAAGCACAGGTATTAGCAGATTTCCTTGTCGAAATGACACACTTACGTGACGCTGAGATGAGTGAGGGTTGGGTTATTTATGTCGATGGATCTTCCAATGTTAAAGGGAGCGGTGCAGGAGTCATCGTAGAAAGCCCTCAAGGCGTTACTGTGGAGCACTCTATCCATTTTGGATTCAAAGCTTCAAACAATCAAGCCGAATACGAAGCGGTCCTCGCTGGGCTCGCCATGGCCAAAGACTTGGGGGCAAAAAACATAATTCTCAAGAGTGATTCACAATTAGTGATTGCTCAAGTCCAAGGAAGCTACCAGGCAAAAGAAGCATTAATGATAAAATATCTGGAAAAAGTAAGATTACTTCTGACAGAGTTTCAAAGCTTCACCATGGAGCACATCCCCAGAGAGCAAAACACCCGCGCTGACATTTTATCCAAGTTATCCAGCACAAAGGGACCAGGAAACAACAGATCAGTAATCCAACAAAGCGTCCCTAATCCTAGCATCATAATGGCAGTAACTAAGCGAAGAGCTCAACCATCTCAAAATGCACAATCCATGGTAGATGATGACAAAATACCATTAGACGGTACAGAGACTTAGATGACATCAATTTGGAATTATTTGGTCAGAGAAGAGGTACCACAAGAAAAAGGCGCAGCAAAAAAGCTATCGCACAAGGCTTCGTTCTACACTATCATCAACAACCAACTCTACAAGAAAGGATTTTCCTCTCCAATGCTTAAATGTTTAGATCCTCAGCAGGCTCAGTATGTAATATCTGAGGTACACGAGGGAATTGGCAGACATCACATGGGAGGGAAATCTTTATCTCGAAAACTGCTTCGCGCAGGCTATTTTTGGCCAACTATGGAAGAAGACTCCAAAAAACACGTGCGACAGTGTGTCAAATGTCAGGAACATGCAGACTTACATCATGCTTCTCCTGAGGAATTATCTTCAATGATGTCCCCATGGCCATTCTACCAATGGGGCATGGACATATTGGTCCCATTCCCAGTGGCTGTGGGAGGGGCCAAATGGTTGCTGGTAGCAATCAACTACTTCTCCAAGTGGGTCGAGGCAGAAGCTTTAGCTACGATATCTGCCAACAAGGTTCTCCGTTTCTTCTACCGACAAATCATAAGTCGTTTCGGCGTTCCTCACACCATCATAACTGATAATGGTACACAGTTTGTGGACAGAAAATTCAATCAAATTCTTCAGGATTTGCATATCAAACACCGATACACATCGATCGAACATCCACAAACAAACGGATTGGCAGAAGCTGCAAATCGAATCCTTAAACGCGGATTGGAAAGAAGACTAGAAGCAGCAAAATGAGAATGGCCTGAACAGCTAGACTTTGTGCTATGGGGTTATAGGACAACCAAACATTCAACTACAAGAGAAACCCCATTTCGCATGGTTTATGGTAGTGAAACCATGATCCTAGTAGAAATTGGAGAACCATCATGGCGAAAGATGTACACAAATGAAGACAGCAACTCACAGGCATTGCTTCATAACTTAGACGCGATAGAGGAAATGCGCGAAATCGCGCACGTTAAAGAAATAGCACTCAAACAGAGAATAACAGCGCACTATAATTTAAGGGTTGTCAGACGAGGCTTCAACGTGGGCGACTTAGTCCTACGCAGAGATGACATCGGCAATAAGAACACGCGACAAGGCAAATTGGCTGCAACCTGGGAAGGACCTTATCGCATCCATAGCAAAACGGATAAGGGGACATATGTCATTGAGACATTATCTGGTCTCGCTATCCCACGCACATGGAACACGGACAAGCTTAAGACATTCTATAGCTAAGTCTCTTACGACTCACAACATATTTATCTTTTCGCATTCTTAATCTTTTTGTATCAAGCTTAAGACATTCTTAATAAAAACATCGCCAATCTTCCTTTTGCTATTAATCATTTTGTATCAAGCTTAAGTACACAGGATCACAGATCAAGTATCAGGATTCTCTCACGAATCCTCTAATTAACAGGATACCTCTCATGGATCCTATCTAGTATCAGGATTCTCTCACGAATCCTCCAATTAACAGGATACCTCTCATGGTTCCTATCAAATATCGGGATTCTGTCACGAATCCTCCAATTAACAGGATACCTCTCGTGGTTCCTATCAAATATAGGGATTCTGTCACGAATCCTCCAATTAACAGGAAACCTCTCATGGTTCCTATCAAGTATCGGGATTCTTTCACAAGTTCTCCAATTAACAGGATACCTCTCATGGATCCTATCAAGTATCAGGATTCCCTCACGAATCCTCCAAGTAACAGGATACCTGTCATGGATCCTATCAAGTATCAGGATTCTCTCACGAATCCTCCAAGTAACAGGAAACCTCTCATGGATCCTATCAAGTATCAGGATTCTCTCACGAATCCTCCAAGTAACAGGAAACATCTCATGGATCCTACATGGATCCTATCAAATATCAGGAGTCTCCCACGAATCTTCCAATCAACAGACTCCTCCACAAGGATCTCCTCAACAGATCGGAACTATTCAAGTCACGATCCCCCAAGGCATATCGCGATGCTCAAACGCGATAGCGTTAGAAAATAAAGGTATGCAAAGTATTTGCAATATGACTTATAAACTGTATAATCATGTAGCATACAGACATAGAGGTCAAGTACTATATGGCGTACACACCATAGTTCCAGACACGTGACCTTCCATAGCAATCTACCAAGATGAATGATCGCGAAGAAAGAAACACACTAGCGCCATACAGATGGGAAACGCCTCGCTTGGGGCAAAATTCCATCCAAGGCGCGATACATCCAGACTTATCCCAAAGATCAGAGGTATGACAATTATACGCAGTTCGGCTAGTCATGAATACTCAGTACAGATATGACTGTCAAAAAACATGCAAAGAGCAGAAAGAAGAAGGAAGCGAAGGGTAATAACCCTTCACGGCATATACAAGTACAAACAAGAAACAGAAAAGCAAGCATTTATCTAGCAACACACACATCATATATATCCGACAAGTCAAAAATTCATTGTTTCAAGGCCGGGGGCAAAATCCCTTCAGCACATCATTGTTTTGGAACATATGGGGACACTCCCCTTACAAAAATATACAACCCAGAGTAACAAACTTCAAAAGAAAACATTAAACCGTCTGTGTTGACATATCCTGAGGGGCATCATTATCAGCAGCGCGATCATCATTGACAGTAGGAGGACCTTGAGAAGATGGCTCATCCAA